GCTCGTCGGCCTCCTTCTCCGTGGGCGGCTGAGGCAAGATCATGTCGATCTTCACACTGGCCGGCTCAAAGTAAGCTGGCATACGCTGAATTAGGAAAAAAAGTGGGGGACTTATGCCGTGACACGTTAGGTTGGGAAAATGTACAACTTGGCACATGAAAATTTCAGTATCAGTTAACGCGCAAAATACTTGGCCTAGCCCGTATTTTCTAATGGCTGACAAGGGTTCTACCGATATCCAGTTATGTAGCAGACAGCCCGCGGTACACCCCGGAAGCAGCCCAGGTGTAAAAAGTTGGGAAGAATTCAAAACTCAAATAAGCTGATTGTCTCCATGGGCTAAGTGCTTGAGGAGATACAGAAATATACTAGCTAAAGAACGAAGAAGCCACGGAAGTTAGAAGCTAAGCAGGATCAGTAGTGTGGATACGGATAGGGAACACGAAGATGCCATCTTAGAAATCAAATCGTTAGTGTATTTGAAGTTCTGAGTTGGCAGCAAGGCTTATTAAAATCATCGATAGGCCTCATAGAATAAATAAATGGCTGAACAAGAGGGTTAACTTAAATCTTGGTAACTTTTCGCGACAAACCCCAGGTCTGAAAGCGAACTTAAAAGGTGAAACTTTCAGGCCTAAATGGATCAAGGATTATGGTGCTAGTGGATACTGCTTGTGAAGTAATACCGCAAAACCGGATCTGTACTGAACCAAAAAAAACAAAAGAAAACAACAAATCAACAGAACATGAAGTTACCGTGGAAACTGTGATACGCTTGAATTGCGTAATAATACCACTCAGAATAAGACAAAGATAGGACTATCAATAATATGAGCTAACCCGCAACTGGCGTTTGTAGGCAGCCCTGTGCATACGACGAACGCGGCAACGCAAACAACAGAATATGAGCAGAATGACGAGGTTCATCAGGAGGAAAACAACGGTCACAAACAGCAGAGGTCTCGATGCAACGTGGTGAGCAAAGTTGTGCAGACGCCGGCACATGGCCCTTCCAATCGATTGTGATAACCCAGGCCTGTCCGAAACAATGCGGGGCTCATTGAAGGCCAGTTCAGGTGGCACTGGACGGGCAAACAGGGGGTTCAGATTCTCGTCATCTGGAAAAAATGTTAAAACATGATAACAGTTGACGGTGGCCGGAATTACAGAGTTATTCAATACTCGTGAATCGTACAAGGCGGGCGATACTCAGTCATGCAGCAAGAAAAAGGGCACAGATAATTGTGGGCATGGTTAAACTAATTAGCACCGAAATCGCGGAGCATAATTAGCTCCGGGGATTGGCAAGATTTAGTGCGGAGATAAAGTGAAGCACTAAGCCTATTTCTTCAATCGATTAGATGGAAGCACTCAGTCATATCGAAATAAGTTATGCTAATTGACTTGTGCAAAGAGTACCCTCGAGCAAACAGTTTGTTGATAACGAAAATATTAAAATTCGGAAAGACCCAGGCCCAACCTACCACCTTTGGTTTAATTAAAGCAATACTGAAGCAAGTTAAGTGGGGATCAGTGCTGCAGGAAATGTTTTTCTTTGGTTTTGACAATCAACCTAGGGCCGAAAATATCTACGGCTGCACAAAATTTGGTCCATAAATTAAATCCAAAACTGTTTCAGGATAGTGCATACTAGCCGCTCACATAAGACTTACTGTGTCATATGCAGCGAGACCTCCTACCTGGACTTACTTGTACTTGGGTGGAGAGGTATGACTTTAGGACGGGGTACAATGTACTGAGAAAGCAAAAGCTGCATTTACCTTCCTCATTCTTCCCCTGCTCGTCATGTTTTAATAGTAGGACCAAATCACGATGACCAGAAGACAAAGAACGTAGTGAGTGGCAATGACCGTCGCATCACAGCTACACTTCACATCAAAAACATTAAATGAAACTCTGTACCGCTGACTTCAGTGTAACACAATGGGAGAACAGTACAACAGAGCTGAACTGCCAAGTGTTCTGTTCTTCTTGAACTTAATCGAACTGCATCCACACAAAGTATAGTCCGCCTTTGACTGGCCTTCTGAACTCGGTTAACTTTATAGACGTTCTTCGGTTAAGTACGCAATATAAGTAGGGAAACAGACCATATGAACCCCGCTGACTTACTATTCTATCATAATTAATATTGCCGATGACAATCGACATGACAACCGGCTCATGATTCAATGGTTCAGCGTTAGACTCAATGAAAAAGATCCCATTTTTTAATGTCTGATGTCGGACAGAAAAGGTCGTTCCAGCTTTACCTGATCTTGTCTATTGTCTCGTTCTGTATATTAACAGTCACTGCAGGATTGCCTACATGGTTCTAGATTGATCCCCAGGACACAATGGGACGAGTATGTCCCCACAATTGGTTCAGGTAATGGTGAAAACATTGATGCCCCTTTGGACGTAAACCGCCTTAAGACATCTCCAGGGCCCCGATGCTGTGCAATCGTCTGACCTGTTGGTCACTCTCGACATATTTGTTGGAGAAAGCCGTCAACAGCGTCAGTGACCAGACCTAGTGGGATAGAGGTGAATAATGAGATCACATTAAATGACACCATCGCCATGTCAGAATTCGCTTGAGGTTGGATACGCGCCTCACTATTTACTCCGAGACTTCAATGAAGAAACGGAGTCGCTGGCACAGCCGCATGGGCAGCCGGGAGGTCGGAGTGTCACGTAAGGAGACGATGGTGTGTGAAAATTCGTAACTTGTGTACCATTGGCAAGCATGCCATCGCCGTATCAATTACATTTGTGGCCAGTCCTTCCCTGATTGTGAGGGCACTCGCCTTTCTCAGCCTGAGCAGCGTCCTGTTTTTGCTGTTTGCGAGCTGTCTGAAGCACTTGACAGCCGAAGGTGCATTATATTCCTCGCCAATCAGGAAGTATTCTAGTTTTCGTCAAAGTTGGATAATACCCATGACGACTACCGAACGTCTGTGTGGAGAGGGCGCCGATATTGTTCATTTATTGATTCCCGGTTCTCCATGTTCTGCTTGGGCACTCGTGGTGCGGAGGTTGTGCTGGAAGAATAGAAACGGCAAGTTGCCGCATGGCAGGTTTGCGTCAATTATCGACCGCACGCTTCTGCAGCGCTAATTTAAACGATGATGCATTATTCGTGTGCGAGCACTAATTTTTGCTATACTTAGAGTTACGAGTAATAACCTCTAACTATTGGCGCGGAAGACGATAGAAAGGCATGTTGTGTACCACAAACTTACAAGATGGCTGTTTTAGAGAATCATTTTTTCCTACTTTGTCGAAAATTTGGTTATTACGTAACTTGTGTTTCCATCGAACCTCATTCAGGGCTAACCCTTTTGAGATTTCGAGCTCGTGTCGTAAAGGTCCACTAGCGAACTTAAAAATGCCGTTCTATCGACATGAGATATATAAATAAATAAGAACTGAACTGTGCGGTTCCTTTACTCTCCGAAAAAATAGTTCGTCTGAGTTCGAAACGTTGAATTAATGAAATACCAAGCAGTTGAAACAGGATGACGCCAACTTCTGGTGGCCTAGACCTTTCTTGAATGCCGTTGCGTTTGAGACATTAAATCTTGTACGTGGGCGTCGCCCGACCCCAGTTACTTATTCC